AGCTCTAAATTAAGCAGGCTGTGCATCAAAGCTCTAACATGACTTACATTTTCTGGAACTTGTAACACACTGAAAAGGCTCTGTCTGCATTGCAAATAAGCTTTCATTTTATGAGTTAGAAACATCTTTCATAAGGCAAGATTTCTCTCTTAATAATGCTATAACCAACTTTCACTCATTGAGAAGTTACCTTTTTTGCAAATTTGGGCTTGCATTCTCTTCATTTGCTTTTTTACTCTAACAGTGCATTAGTGTTCCTAGAAGCTCTAAATTAAGCAGGCTGTGCATTAAAGCTCTACCATGACTTGCTTTGTCTGGAACTTGTAACACACTGAAAAGGCTCTGTCTGCATTGCAAATAAGCTTTCATTTCATGAGTTAGAAACATCTTTCATAAGGCAAGATTTGCTCTTAATATTGCATAAACCAACTTTCTCTCACTGAGAAAGTACCTTTTTGGCACATTTAGGCTTGCATTCTCTTCATTTGCTTTTTTACTCTAACAGTGCATTAGTGTTCCTAGAAGCTCTAAATTAAGCAGGCTGTGCATTAAAGCTCTACCATGACTTGCTTTGTCTGGAACTTGTAACACACTGAAAAGGTTCTTTCTGCATTGCAAATAACATTTAATTTCATGAGTAGGATACATCTTTCATGTGGAAAAGGTTTGCTCTTAACATTGCATATACCAACTTTCTCTCATTGGGAAAGAAGCTATGCAGCATATGTGGGCTTGCTTTCTCTTCATTTGCTCAGAAACACTAACACATCATTAGTGCTCAATGAAGCTCTAAACTGAGCAGGCAGTGCATTGAAGCTCTAACATGACTTGCTGTGTCTTGGATCTTGTAACACACTGAAAAGGCTCTTTCTGCATTGCAAATAACATTTAATTTCATGAGTAGGATACATCTTTCATGTGGAAAAGGTTTGCTCTTAACATTGCATATACCAACTTTCTCTCATTGGGAAAGAAGCTATGCAGCATATGTGGGCTTGCTTTCTCTTCATTTGCTCAGAAACACTAACACATCATTAGTGCTCAATGAAGCTCTAAACTGAGCAGGCAGTGCATTGAAGCTCTAACATGACTTGCTGTGTCTTGGATCTTGTAACACACTGAAAAGGCTCTTTCTGCATTGCAAATAAGCTTTCATTTCATGAGTTAGAAACATTTTTCATAAGGGCAAGATTTACTCTTAACATTGCATAAACCAACGTTCTTTAACTGAGAAAGTACCTTTTTTGCATATTTGGGCTTTTATTTTCTTCATTTACTTTACACTAACAGAGCATCAGTGTTCCTGGAAGCTAAAAAATGGTAGTTATGTGCATTGAAGCTCTAACATAACTTGCAGGGCATAAAAGCTCTAACACATTAAAGTCTGTCTTTCTGTATTGCAAATAACATTTCATTTCATTCGTAAGAAACAGCCTTCATCTGGAAAAGCGTTGCTCTTTACATTGCATACTCCAACTTTCTCTCACTGGGAAAAAACTTTGCAGCATATGTGTGCTTGCTTTCACTTCATTTGCTCCGAAATTAGTATGTGGGCTTGTTTTCTGTTCATTTGCTTAGAAACACTAAAACAGCATTAGTGGTCATTGAAGCTCTAAACTAAGCAGGCTGTGCATTAAAGCACTAACATGTCTTGCTGTGTCTGGACCATTCACAGAATTATACATCGAGTGGCTGATGAAGTCATGGCAATTTTGCCAAAGGTTGTGGGCCTACCAAAGTCAGAAGAACACTTGCTCCAGGTTGGTGCAGGCTTTGCTTCTCTCACCAATGACCAGGCTTTTGGTAAAGCTGTTGGAGCCATTGATGGATGCCATGTGAGAATAAAACCACCAGCTGGCCCTGATGGACAGTGTTATAAAAACAGAAAGCTGTTTGCCTCCATCCTGCTTCATCAAGAGGCATTTTTAGACATTTTTGTAGGGTACCCCGGGAGTGTCCACGACTCATGTGTGCTTAAGAACAGCCCCATTTACAAACAGGCAAAGTATCCACCTCAGGGCTTTTTCCTCCTCGGCGATGGTGGGTACCCCTGCACAGAGAAGCCAATCGCAATCATGACACCATTTAAGAATCCAGCCTCACCATCTACTCAGCGCTTCAATGCACATCTTTCCAAAGGCCGCTCAATTATTGAGCGTGCTTTTGGAATGATTTAGAGCCATCTTCCTTCAGGCACTTGAAATGCAAAGGTTGCATAATTTTTCTGTATATTTGACCTTTACTTAATACACAACTTCAATGTCAGATAAAATAATTTACAATTTAGGGTGACAAAATGTTTTCATATTTGTGTGTATACAGATGATACACACTGCACCATGCATACACATGCACCATGCTGCACAACATCTGCCTTGGTGTTGGCGACATTATACCACCAGACGACAGCCAAGAAGAAGAGGAAGATGATGTGGAGGCATGCAATCAAGGGGAGGCAATATCTGGTGCAGCATGGCGTTTGAGATTGTGCAACCAAGTGTCTGCCTTACAGGATGTCAACCAGGACCACGACTACATAAATCATCCTAATTCAAAAAGTAAGTTGAACACACTAAATTTAATTTGGCTACAAATACAAAGTTTAAAATGAAATGTATAATTAACTATACTTAAGTTTAATATAGTTTATACAGCATTATAAACGGATAACTGATTACCTTTTCATGGAATTTTTAAATCTTTAACCCAGAATATATATTTTTTTCTTCTGTTCTTAGGCTTACTAGGAAGTCAGCATGAGAAGCTCACACAAGACATGACATCTTTTTCACGATTTATCTTTAATTTTTTTGAATGTGTAGCCAAAGATATTTATTCATTAATGATTGTGTTTAGCCATTTAGAATGTATTAATTTACAGATTTAGTGAAATATTGACAACAGAATTACCTTTTTAATATTTGTAAGTAACAATAGTAAGTAAATATTGTAAATATTTTTGTTACATTTGATCAATTAATGTTTTGAGTAAATTAAAGAGCCTATCACTCCTCGCCCTGTCTTCTCCATCTCTCCTTTCTTCCCACTCCTTCTAACATGCCATGTCTTCCTTCAGGAGCTCAAGAAGAGGATCTGATTTGTTTTTTCTCTTTCTTGGCCGCGACTACTCTATTCCTGCCCTCTCCTGCTGTGCAGCTCAACAGAACTGCAACCTGGCTGTGGTTCGTCATCAGGCAGTGAAGCAATGAGAACGGGGGAGAAATGGAAGGCCTCTGACCCAACATCTCATCCATCAGAACAAACCACGGCCAGGTTTCAGCAATTGGCTTTCCGTTGTTCAGGCCCTCACCTGACCCTGGATGTTTGCATTCCTAAGACAAAAAAAATGTTAATGGTGGTGGCATAAATACTCACTCATGCCACCTCTGAGCCTCATTAAATGTCTGAAAATACCTACGAGCCACTTTTGTGTTCTTCTGTGCTCTTCTGTAGTACAAGTTATTTAGCTTATACTGATTTTATATGATTGGTAACTTATTCTTCTTATTCTATTGTTTAATTAGAAAGTGTAAAAAGCTTATGAACATACATTTTTGAATTTGACAAAAGATGACATACTTTTAATAAAATTAGAAAAATGCCATTAAAAAAAAAAAAGCCCCTGTAAATCACTTTGAGTTAAATATCACCTCGTAATGAGAAGACACATTTTTTTATCAGAATTTTTTATTATTGATCAGAAGGTGCTCCTGAATCTTTTGACTGTGCCAATTATCATCAACATAATGTATTCTATATGAATTGAAACTTAAAAAGTTTTCTTTTATAGAGTTGAGACGACTTAGACATGGTCTAACACAAGGCCTACATCTTAGCTTACCGTATAATTAAAAAAAAAATTGTCCCACTTTTTCTTTGCTTGTGCTGGTGTTATTTTACTGGACAGGTCCATTTTCTCCAGAATAAATCTATAATCATAAAAATAGCAAGCGTAACATCCCAATTTAGAGTGAAAACTCCTTACACATCCTTAGAAATAAGACTTCCCTTCTGCCTAACATAGGGGCACACACTGGTCCTGGAGAGTTCAGCTCCAACCTTAATCAAACACCCGAACAAGCTAATCATGGTTCTAAGGGTTACTGGAAAGCAACAGGCAGGTGAGTTTGTATAGGGGGTTGGAGCAAAACTCTGCAGGACTGGTCTAGCCTGGTCTAACATGTCCTTCTTGACAGAACTTTAATTTTGCCTTTTAGGCAAGAAGGAGATTAATTCTGCTCAAAAAGAAGAAAGATTGACTGCCTACTTTAATTCTAAGATCTTACCTCCAACCATATAAGGCTGTATTTTTAGCTCCAGTGAAGAGATCAGAATGTTCCTGCCTCAAATCTTATAAATTTCTCCGTATTTTCCTTGCTCCCTATTCAAAACAAAATTTAACAGGGCTTATTTCTACATGTATTTTTACTGTTGATTTTCTTGTAGTGTTTGGTCATTTTAGATAGATTTTTTTTTCATATTTTTTTCTGAATTTGTCTTATTTTAACTGTAACAATAATGCAAAAAACAATACTTAAACATTTCGAACAAAAATCTAAATTTTTACACTAGATAAATACACACACACTTATTCCTATCATTATGAGCACATTCCATAGGCATAATGGTTTTTACACTGTACAAACATATTCTATTCCCCTAAACCTACCCATTTTAAAATAGTTTTATATTAAAACTATATTTATTTTCTATACTTGATATAGACAAATTTTCTATACTTGATATAGAAAAAAGGTGCATAATTTATTTGAAGAATAAAATATGAATAGTTAATTATAACTAGTTATGGTTAATTATTCATATTTCCTGTCGTTGAGCTAAATTCGCTACATTGTCTATCTTAAAGAAAAAAAATGTCAGTGAACTAAAATATTGAACATTAATTTCATAACACTACCCAGCAAGCAATTTTGCGCTTAAAACACGTCTATTAGACGTCTAAATATAGCCTAGACGTCTAGGCTAAAACGAGGCTAAATTTGGGCTGTCAGTGAAAATCTAATAGACGTCTAATCATAAAAAAGAGAGAAGCTCTCTGGTAAATGTTGTGTGTTTTATACACATACCTCTGATGACCGAGAACAGTGCAGTCTTTTCAAATGCCTCTTTCTGCAGCGGACCCCCCCCTTCGTGTTGAATTTGGAATTTAAAAACCCTAAAATATAATACAGATTGAGGTGGTTAACAATTGCAGACAAAGTTTGACATTTCAAAATGACCAGTAAAGGAATTATTTTTTACATTTCTGATTTGCGTTGTATCTTATTGTATCTGCGAGTATTGACACCACAATGTTTGATTAATGTGGCAAGATTTGTAGGCTTTACCTGTCTAGCATCCTTCTGGCACTGTCTTTGAGGTTTATTCCTTCAACTCTGCACAACTTTGACACCTGAATAACACATGTCAATGTCAGGCGGTGTACACGTGTTTACCAACCTTACATATGGAAGCCCATTTACCTGCAAGTTTTCCATCTCTAACCCTTTAAAACTCTTTATTCCAACAGTTTAACCTTTTCCCTATTAGTGCCCCCCACAATCTGTCTCTGCCTCCAAAATTGTCTGGCACAACTGACTTCATAACAACACAGTATTAGCTGCTGTAACTAAAAAGTAGCCCGGTTAACATTAACATTAACCTCAAATGTACATGGAATAATAAATTCACCCCCTACCATTTTATTTCATTATGCTTTCTGTTTGTACTGTTTAGGTTTTAATGATGCACTGCACATCTGAGCTTTTTGCACTTATTATTTGTATTCTTAAGCTTTACTATCAATTTGGAACTTTCAAAATAAATCTTATTGTAACGTTACTTGTACAATGACAAAGATATTCTATTCAATTAGCTCATGCTCTCTCTGTATCTAACAAGCCATTGTTCAGTAATAAATTCAATTTAATAATTAAAATAAATGATGGACTTTGTCAAAGATGAGAGCTTTAGTGAGGAAATGTTTTGGAGAGGGTTTTTTTTTTTACCATTGCTGCCCGGATCTTTTCCAGACGTTGAAACTCCTCCTCAGTTTCTCCAATTCTTCTGAGTGTGTTCACTGTATAAATTAATATGGATTAATCGTTGTCAAAGCTGTGTTTGTTCTGTTGTTTGCTCTTTGTTCTTCTTGCGCTGTTTTAATTGATTTAAAATGATTGCGTTTGTTCATACAAATGATAAAACTTTTACTCTATTAAATTTTGCAATTAATCCTCTGAACACATGCATGCTGAACCGTAGGCCTAGTCATAGATCACTATCAACTACAATCTGCTCCCTTCACTAAAATGTCACAGTTCCTAAATATGATAACAAATAATATAGATAAATAATGAACACATGTCACAGAAAACACAGATACTTACAAGACCAAGTAGGAATGTCCTTTATCGTTTGTTGTTTTACTTGCTCTCCGACAAGTAAACTTAGTGCTCTCTTGTGTAAAAATTTTTTCCAAGCTGTTAAAATTAGACCACAGATTGCCTCGATTTCGCCAGGTGGGCTAAAAGCAGGCTACTCGTAGCCCGTCCAATTTAGAGCGAAATCATGGTTACATATAGACCATGTCATGAAATGACACTTATATCTTTGTAGATATTATTGACACTGCGAACATGATGGGATATCAACCATCTCATGCGCTGTCTGGCAAAAAATTACAGTGAATCAGGTTTGACTGTAAGTGGGCAACAGATAGCCGCTCGGACTACGAGCTAAATCGTGGCTATGCTCAGGCTACGTATTGAACATATCAAAGAAATGAAACCAAACACCCTGTAAACGCTGTTGACTTTGCTTACATGATGGAATATCATACATCAAGTTATTTTGCCAAAAACGACATGAAACCAAATTCAAGGTTATTTGGGTTAGAAGTGGGTTACACATAACCGGACTATATCGGGTCTATACTTAACCGAGACGTTGAAATGACATCTATTGCTTGCTGGGTAAAAGCAAAAATGTATTTATCATAAAATTATTGTCTCCGGTCAGTTTCTACAGTGAACAACATGAAAGTGACCCCGAAATGTAATACCAAAGGGTTAAACAAATTAATTATTTCTCGCTTTGCTAGCAAAGTACTGTTAAACATTTGTTAAACATTTTGAAATACTTACATTTAAACACCACATCTCTGCTTGTGTATAGATCTGCCGCCGCCGCCATTTTTTCAAATAAACGACGGTTATTTATGGCGACGCAAAGAATTGTGGGTTATCTGTAGCAGCAAAGGATACACTTCATGCATCCTCTGAATTCCTGTGAAAGAAGGTCGCATTCGAAGGTCGCATTCAGAGTGTCCTACTTGCATGAGACTTGTCTCGATGATGTATGCAGCCTTCGAATGCGACCTCCGGAGGGCGTCCGGATAAGCTTTCATTTCATGAGTTAGAAACATCCTTCATTCGGGCAAGCTTTGCTCTTAACATTGCATAAACCAACTTTATCTTACTCAGAAAGTACCTTTTAAGCACATGTGGGCTTGCATTCTCTCCATTTGCTTTTTGCACTAACAGAGCATTAGTGTTCCTTTTCCACCTGGTGCACAACCCGTGGCGAAGACCCAGTTTCATGTGACATATCGGGGATGGTGTCCTACCTACAAGAGCTGTTGGACAAGGTCTATGTGGCAACTATAGCAGCTTCTCATGCTCCTATAGCCGGACAGTCTGTGGGCCGGAACAACTTAGTTGTTTGTTTCCTGAGAAATACAGTAGGCCAGCGATTCATTGAACTAGCCGTATAACATGAATTCTGCAATGGATATTAATATCCAAATTATAGTGAAAACACTATTTATTAGCACAGGAACAAGATCGGCAGTTTAAGACATTAACTTGTAAGCACAAAAACACAAGATACTTCTCTTTTCAATGTAAACAAGGCTTTATTAGATAAATCTGAGACATATAAACTAGTCTAACACATAAACACACGTGCTCACACATTCACACAAGTTGCAGGAAGAGAGAAAGTGAGGAAAGAATGAGTTTAAGAGAATGAAAATGTGAAATCCCAAGTTTACAGCAATATGTGCAATTGCATAGACCTGAACAACCATCGATCACTTAATCAACCCTCGAATTGAGTACCTCAGTGAGGTTAAAATTTATATTAAATGAACCTAATGCAGCTAGAATCTGGAGGTACTTGGGTTGCCTGTGTAGGGGGGTCCCCTTTGTTGTCCTCCTTGCAGAAAAGGGGGTTTCCCGAGCTTGCTGATTGGCTGGAAGTTCAGTAGTCGTTGAAGTGACGTCTTGGGAAGCCAGTGGTTGGGCGTTGGCTGAAGATGCGGAGTTGTGGGCTGGTTGACAAAAGACATACACAATAAGTGATTAGAACATGATAGTCAAATGTGTGGGTTAAATACATGATATGGACTTAAGCAATGGACTGATATTCATTTATGTCTTTTTGATTCCCTTTTGGTGCATCTACATCTGTAAAAGACAGTTTCTGTGCCATTCTGTGAACATAAGGACATGTTCTGTGAAAACCAGAGGTTAAAAGGTCTCATACGGAATCTCAGTCTGGTCTTTGTCTTCTAGGTGGGGGAAACCACCCACCGCAGTTTCTACTAATGATTTTCCTCATGTGATGGTCATGATTAGGGATGCGCCGATCCGATATTCATATCGGGTATCGGCTCCGATAGTGCCATTTTTTGGGGATCGGGTATCGGTCAGAGATGGCCGATCCAAATCCGAGATTTAAAAAAAAAAATTCTAGCAATGCTAGAACTAATTTGTTGCATGTGTACATATTTTCTAATTAAGAAAAACCTGACATTCTGGAAAATACAGTATTATGGCTCAGTTATTAAGGGTGTAAATGTCTTAATGTCAGCACAAAACTCACCTGAGAATAATTTTGAGACAAGCGCAGGTGACAGCTTCAGGAATGTCAGAAAATATTTGGAAAGCAATCTGACAGAGATGGAAATCTTTCTTCACTATGGCCAATGAGAGTAGTTCAGGGCACACACTACATTTCCAAAAAATAAACAAACAAGACGATGAGCATAGTTACACAAAACACTTGGAGATGGGAGACAGGGGCTGAACAGGTGAGTTCAAACCTCTAGCAGAGGTACCGAGTCTCCAGCAGCAGTAGAAATGCACACTGAGGGTAGAAGTTGGCATCTGTCTGGGATCTTCAAACTAGCTCTAATGCCACCCTGCCTGCTGCCAGCTGGAGGTCAGCCTGAGGAGTCCGACGAATAAACTCACCCACCTCTGCTTGTACATCCTCTACCGCACTAGTCTAGCAAAAAGCACACACTGCATGATCACAACCTAATGAACACAATCCATGTGCAAAGGTTCTTGAATATATATATGCAAACTCAGCAAATAAATAAATAATAAAAAATAATAAACAAACAAACAAATGTCCCCTTTTCAGGATACTGCATTTTAAAGATAATTTAGTAAAATCCAAAAAAGTTGTAAATTGGAAAGGGTTTACACGTTTTCCATAAATAAAAACACCAGAAGAAAGATACCTAGGATCTCTGCTCACCTGCATGCAATAGGCCTGTTGAAGGGAGGCATGAGGACTGCGTATGTGGCCAGAGCAAACTAACCAATAAACTGGAATGTCCGTAAAAGTAAGACACCTAAGACAGTGCAGTCCAGTCCATGAGGATGAGATGTACTGTAATTAAATCAGATGGTCACTACACCAGATACTGACAGTTACTTTTGATGACAGCGTCTCTCATGATGCTTTGCACTCTGTTAACGCTGTTAACGTCTTTTGGAGGAAGTGTGGCTTTGGAGAGATATCTAAAGGGTGGATGCGCCCTCTCCCCTTATATGCTGTCAAAGCTAACTTGCTATTGCTAACCTCTTGAATGTTTCAAGTTACAAAAAAAAAAAAAGACTGAGGCAGCCTTATACCTTAATATGTTGAATGAGTTGATCCACTGTCAGTGCAGAACTGATATTCTGCAAAAACAGTAAAAAAAACAAAAAACATCATAAGTGACAATAACAGCACATCTACAAATACAAATATACACATACATATACAATACAAAGCACATCTATATGTACAGTACAATCAAACAATTTAAAAGAAAATATAAAAAAAATCAATATTTGATTTTTTGTAAAAACCATGTAATTTTTAATTAACCTGATTAAAAACATGTTCAAGGGCACAAACAATAAACTTTCTCAGACGAGTAGAAATATATATATATATATACTGTATATATATATATATAAAACAATGAGCTCTCCGACATGTACATATGAGAGTGTTTTCAACTGAAAGTACTAAGACACATGCTTGAATCATAAATTGATCATGCAGTACAGTTGAATGTTTCCTACAAAAAAAACAAAAAAAACAAAACAACAACAAAGTTCAATATACACATTTTACATTAAGTAATACAGTTTTTTGTTTGTCACAGGGGTCTGCAACTTTCTTTATATATTGTATTTAACTTAAGGGGGAAAAAATTTGATGTTATGTTAAATTCAGAGTATGTGAGTGGAGCAGCGTGACTTTGACTGGAGCATCTTAATACTTTAGCTGCAAATTTCATCAAGGAGTGAAGGCAGCGTGCGGTTTCTGTTCAGTTGAGCGAGGAGCGGGAAATGGTGAACACACTATAATACTATAAAATACTTAAACAGTGGAGTGATTATTGAATGCTTGGGGTGTGGAAGAGAAAATGTTGCCGCTCCACTCTGCTCACATACTCTGGTTAAGTTTAAAAGTAATTTGAAACCTGATGACCCATGTTATCCCAGCATTACATTTGTTTTAAACCTTTCAAAATCCTAAAACTCCCTTTTTAATTTCAATATAAGATTTCCAATGTGACCCTATCAAACAGTATTTGTAAGGGTGGGAATCTTTAGGCAGCTCACAATCTTGATCTACATTTTTATTAGGGCTGCCCCTGACTAAAGATTTTTCTAGTCAACTAGTATTGGTTTATTTAAGCCATTAGTCGACTAATTGCATGTTTATATTTGCGGGGCCTTTAATATGTAGCCTATTCCACGCTCAAGAGGTGAAGAGGCATTAATTTATAATTTGCATAGTTAACACTGGGGGAAAACTGGGCATTGAAATGCTTGTGACGAGGCTCAGACATACAATGACAATTACAGGACCATACATAATCAAATGGTATATATGAACATACACAATATAGACATAAGTGGAGGGCACTAAGATATTAAAGTGCCATGTGCTATTCCACAGGCAAAACAATAAATACAGAGCAATCAATACAAATAAGTGGATAAAATAAGGGTTAAGAGTATTAAGTAGTCCTGAGGTACTGAGATAAAAATACTGAGGTAGATCAGTGTCAGTGTAGAGTGTAAAGTGTCGCAGCAAAAGTAACAGTACAATACAATAAATAGTAAACCTTAAACGGGTCATATGATGCGATTTCAAGTTTTCCTTTCTCTTTGGAGTGTTACAAGCTGATTGTGCATAGATAAGATCCCTGAAGTTGCAAAGACTAAAGTCTCAAAACCAAAGAGATATTCTTTATCAAAGTTAAGACTCTGCCACGCCCCCCTAAAACGGCTCATTCTAACACGCCCCCACATATCTACCTCACTATGTGGACATTTTTGCATAATGCCGCCCAAATGTGCACGCAAAGATAGAAGGCGTGGTTTCAGTAACTGCAGTTAGTGTTGAAGCAGCCATATCAGGGAGACGCTGTGTGTTTCTAGGCGAAAGCAAAAGCACTTTATTTGGCCTTCCGAAAGTAGATGCATTTAGGAATCTTTAAGATAAAGATACAACAGAACAGCAATGCATTTTATGGACGACCGTTTCATGAACCTAGGAGAGGAGGTAATTCTGACTTTGCTATGACAATCTGGCGCTTCTGAATCGGCTACTGTTTTGTTATTAGTTTAAGTATTTGCTATTGACTGTTCAAATGCGGAGTTTTGCGCATCGTGTGTGTGTGTGTGTGCGTTACATTTCCAACGAGTGCTTGCGGTGTTCGGCCAATCACAATGCACTGGGTCAGCTGGCCAATCAGAGCAGACTGCGCTTGTCGGAAGGAGGGACTTTGTTGAAAACGAAGCGTTTGAGAGCGGCGGGGCATAGAGGACCTACAATAATGTACGGTATTTGAAAAATAATGTGTTTTTTGAACATTAAAGCATGTCAACATATTCTGTTACACCAAATAATGATCTTTAAAAAAGCATCATATGACCCCTTTAAGAGCAGTAAGTAGTCCTGAGTAAAAATGTCTCAGTGTCCAAAGTGGCAGAAGTAAAGTGTTTAAAGTTTTGTCAGTATGTGATTGCAGGTCTAGACGAAGGACAGCTGGCTGTTAAGCAGTCTGATGGCTTGAAGATAAAAGCTGTTCTTCAGTCTGGTAGTCCGTGATTGGATGGATCGTAAGCGTCTGCCAGATGGTAGTGTGGCAAAAAAGTGGTGAGCAGGGTGAGTGCAGTCCTTGACGATGATGCGGGGCTTTCTCAAGCAGCGTGTTTGATAGATGTCCTGTAAGGCCGGGAGTTTGTGTCCAGGAATGAGCTCTGCTGTTCTCACCACTATCTGAAGAGCTTTTCGGTCGGAAGAAGAGCAGTTGCCGTACCATACAGTGAAGCAGCCGGTCAGAATGCTCTCTGTAGTGCAGTGGTAGAAGTTTGACATGATGTCAGAGGAGATGCCAAACCTCTTCAGCCTCCGCAGGAAGTAGAGAGAGACACTGAAGGGCTGTTCTCACTATGATCTCTGAGTGTGGGCTCCAGGAAAGATCCTCAGAGATGTGAATGCCAAGGAACTTGTAGCTCCTGACTCTCTCTAATTCCTCTCCATTGATGTGAATGGGAACGTGACCTCTGTGACCTCCTGTAATCCATGATCATCTCCTTGGTCTTGCTGACGTTTAGAGAGAGATTGTTTTCAGCACACCATATTGTGAGTGCATTAACTTAATCTCTGTTGGATATCTCATCACCATCAGTGATGAGTCCTAGGATAGTTGTATTGTCAGCAAATTTGAGGAATACAATGAGGATGAGCGAGTACAAGAGTGGGCTGAGTACAGTGCTGAGTGTGAGTGCAGAGGATGTGTGCTCAAGCATACACATAAAGCTTGCCACAAATCATGAGCAAAAATGATGGCATATTTTGACTTTCTGCACAAGGGCACACTTTGGCTTCCAGTATGAAACATATGTGTCTATAGCGCTCAATAATGCTCACACTACCTTATTTTGGGTAAAAATAGGAAAATAATAGTTCCCTCTAAAGAAATTTTAAGTAAACATAAGATAATCCATATGTTTTTCTTCAGTGTACAGAAGTGTACAAAACGTACTCAGTGGATGCTTAAGAGGCTCATAATTCATATTAAAGACATGGACTCGATTTTGATTTTGCATACCTCCTGACAAAAAGAAAATACTCTCATAGAGATTTATCATAATATATTTTATAATAAAACCTTAGACCTTTCAAATGATTTATAGTTATAGGCAACCTGCATTTTAACTGGTCACCCTGCAGTGGTCTGTAAAATAGTGTTCTGATAAATTAATATCATCTAACAATTATATATTTATTCATAAATACTATATTTGTTATTTTTAATAATGTAATACTGTTATTAAAATAGTACTTTTTTTGTAATTTGTTTTGATAATATTTTTATTTAGTATGAATAATAATCATAATTATTATTATTAGTCATACCAATATACAAACACAAAATTCTGGGACAAATTATGCTGCCCTACATACAAGCCTAGTGTTCTTTTATAATTAGGCTTTTTCCCCAAACTGTGGGGGGAAAATTCCCCAAAATCATACTTTCATGCTTTTGCTGACAAGTACAGTGTTGTCACAACCGGGACAAAGAGGCAGACAGGCAGGATAACGTTAAGCAGAGAGTTTAATTACAGGAACTTAAGAGAGGCTTCCAACCAAAAAGAGTTCAACTTAGGCAGTAAGGGAAGCAAAACACAGTCTTATCTGGGTCGGCACTCCGATCCTTCGGCCGAGAACTGAGGATTCCGAGGGGAACAGGCAGACTGGAAGACGAGGAACCAGGACAGAATAGCTTGCAACCTTGAGACCAGCCGATGAGTGAATGAGGTGAGTGAGTATTTGAGTGGTGTGGTAAGTGGGTGCAGGTGTCCGTGATCAGTTATCAGGTGATTGTGAGCGGGTGAAGGAAGCTGATTTGGCTGATGAGGCAGGTGTTTCCGTGACAAGTGTAAGGGTATTTATAGCTCCTGTAGCGTCTGCGTAGGATCATGCATGAGCGTTGGACTGTTTATGGCTTAAAAGACCCCTTTTAGCCTTTTGACATTTGCATATAAATTACAGTTCTGGTCAGAGATGTTACGTTGTATAGGGGTTTTAAATTGCCAGATGGTTCTTCACCGACAAGAAGATTCGAACCAGCCCCCACTATCATCCTTCTCAATCTGACTTCAAACACTGTTTAAAGAGCTGTAAATTACCTCGATGGGCCGGGCAGGCCAAGCAAACTAACGCACACACACACACAAACTAACACACACACACACATAAACACATTTCTTTATTTTAGACTATAATTAATCAGTTATAATTGTATCTGGTATATGCATGTGGTGTGTACATTCCCTTGTTAGATTAGATGAGTTACCACTCGTTATTTGTATTAGTTAAAGCCATAAAACACTTATATTCAGGTGTATGTATGTATCTTTGGTTTAATCTATTCCAAATGGTTGCTTCTTGGTATCAATGTTACCTGTTTTTCATTCCTCGGACAATGACGTACAGTATGTGATTGTGAAACGCATCATATGACTCGCACGATATTTTGGGTTAAAACTACGGATATTCCAGACTGGCCATAAAGCATGCAAATGAGCCATAAAACAAGAGACAAAGAAAGATTCTCCCGCTCAAAATCCATGGCTCTCATTGGCCAGCACACACAGAA